AGTAAGGTAGCAGGATACAAAATTAATATTCAGAAATCAGTTGCATTTGTATATACCAATAATAAACTATCAGAAGGAGAAATTAAGAAAACAGTCCCATTTACAATTGCTTCAAGAACTATAAAATACCTAGGAATAAATTTAACCAAAGAAGTAAAAGACCTGTACTCAGAAAATTATAAGACACTGAAGAAAGAAATAAAAGAAGATATAAATAAATGGAAACACCTACCATGCTCATGAATAGGAAGAATTAATATAGTTAAAAATGTCCATACTGCCTAAAGCAATATATAGATTCAATGCAATTCCTATCAAACTACCAAGGGCATTTTTCACAAAAATAGAAAATATAGTCCTAAAATTTATATGGAACCGTAAAAGACCCCAAATAGCCATGGCAATCCTGAGAAATAAGAACAAAGTCAGGAATATCATGATACCAGACATCAAAACATACTACAAGCCTACAGTAATCAAAACAGTATGGTACTGGCATAAAAACAAACTCATAGATCAATGGAACAGAATAGAGAGCCCAGAAATAAATCCATGCATATACGGACAGTTAGTCTATGACAATGGAAGCAAGAATTTACATTGGGGTAAAGATAGTCTATTTAAAAAATGGTGCTGGGAAAATTGGACTGACACGTGCAAAAAAATGAAACTGGACCACCTCCTTATGCCATATACAAGAACAAATTCAAAATGGATTAAAGACTTAAATGTAAGACCTGAAATCATACAACTCTTGGAAGAAAATATAGGGAGTAAATTTGCAGACATTACCCTGAGCAATATTTTTACTGATACATCCCTGCAGGCAAGGGGAGTAAAAGAAAAAATGAACATATGGGATTACATCAAACTTAAAAGCTTTTTCACAACAAAGGAAACCATCAATAAAACAAAAAGGAAGCCTACTGAATGGGAGAAGATATTTGTCAATGATATATCTGATAAGGGGTCAATATCCAATATTTATAAAACACTCATGCAATTCAACATCAAAAAAACAAACAATCCAATTAAAAAATACGCAGAGGATATGAAGAGACATTTCTCTAAAGAGGACATACAGATGGCCAACAGGCATATGAAAAAATGTTCAACCTCACTAATCATTAGGAAATGCAAATAAAAACCACAATGAGATACCACTTCACTCCGGTCAGAATGGCTATCATCAATAAATCAACAAACAACAAGTGCTGGTGAGGTTGTGGGAAAAGGGAACCCTGGTGCACTGTTGGTGGGATTGCAGATTGGTGCAGCCACTATGGAAATCAGTATGGAGGTATCTCAAAAAACTGGAAATGGAACTACCTTATGGCCCAGCAATTCCACTCTTAGGTATTTATCCAGAAAAACCCAAGACACTAATTCGAAAAAATATATGCACCCCTATGTTCATTAAAGCGCTATTTACAATAGCCAAGACTTTGAAACAATCAAAATGCCCATCTTTAGATGACTGGATTAAGAAACTGTTGTACATTTACACAATGGAGTATTACTCAGCTATAAAGAAGAAGGAAATCATACCATTTGCAACAATATGGATGAACCTAGAGAACATTATGCTAAGTGAAATAAGTCAGTCAGAGAAAGACAAATACCATATGACCTCACTTATATGTGGAATCTAAAGAACTGAATAAACGAGTAATGTAAACAGAAATAGTCTCAGAAACACAGAGGAAAAACTGATGATTGCTAGATGGGGTGGGTGTGGGGATGAGGGAGAAGGGGAAGAGATGAGAAAACATAAATTGGTAACTATAATATTGCCTCAGGGATAGCAAAGACAGTTTGGGGAATATAATCAATAATGTTGTAAGTATTTTTTAGGGGCCAGATGGTCTCATGTCGTGTTAGGGAGACCGCTTCATGGATGGTGTAGAAGCTTGACCACTGCACTGTACATCTGAAGCTGCCATTGAATAATATTATATGTCAACTATAATTTAATACATATATAGTCATGGGATTTGGAGTATAGTGTGGGAATGGAGTCAATGGAATTGTAATAGATATGTATGATATCGGGGGTGGGGGAACAGTGGAAGGGAGAGGGGGATTGTCACTTTGTGAAGAGTGCATTGTTTTGTACACCTGAAACTAATAATAATAAAAAGAAAAAAAGAATGCTGCTTCCAAATCAAAGAGCTTGGGTTCAAGGCCTGGCTTTGTCACTTACTCACTAGGCAAGTGAATACTCTGCCTCAGCTGGTTTATTTGTGAATAGGGATAATATTAGTATCTGGCTCCGAAGGTTCTCGTAAGGACTAAATGAATTGATGCATGTAATGCACTTAGCACACAGCCTGGTATATAGTATTGCTTGGAGCATGTCAGCTGCTGCTGCTGCAACGACTGTTACTATTATAGCAATATTTTTTTGTTGCTGCCTTATGCTCATTATAAAAATCTTACATTATTATAATATGCTACAATCCAGTGATACCTTTTTAAAGGCATAGGGTTACTGGCTTTTACATAAAACAGTCCTGGACTGACTTGCTGGAATGCTCTTACAGGCTGTTTTATAGTTTTTCATTTTTGGTAAGGTCTCTGGTTTTCATATCTACTGTTAATCATTTTTCCTATCTCTGTCAGCCTCTTTCCATGTTTGTATTTTTACAGAGGGCATAAAAACCAGGAAACCAAGTCTGTAAGACACGTGTGTTGGTAAAAGCTAATATGTTCTGAACTACGCTGGAAAAGCTCTCCTCTGACTAGGGAGAAGGAAGGTGACTCCACAGACATCTCTTTTGGTTCTTTAGAGGTGTTTTATTGTTAATTTCCTGATTCACACAGATAAATATAAAAAGTTATCTGAAAATTAAGTTTCGGGGGGAGATAGATGTAACTAAGGTTATACCTAAATGTCAAAATTGAAAAGCCTCTAAGTAGTTCAAAGAAATACTCATTAAACTCCCACTACAGCTAGATGCTGGGGGAACAACAATGAGTGATATGCTCATGGACCTCAGGAATCTTGCCATCTATAGAGAGATATAAGCATAAACAAACAATGTCAAGGTCATATACTAAGAGATATCAAAGATTTTCACACAGGGTGCTGTGGGAGCCTCGAGAAAGGGCTTTAACGAACCTGGGGGCGCAGAGAAAGCTCCCTGAAGAGGAGGGTGCCTGAGCAGAGCCTTGCCAGCCAGGTGAGGAAAGGTGAATGGGCTACTCCACGCATGGAAGGAGCCAAGCCACGAGGCAGGAAGCAGCATAGTGTTTTTGAGAGAGTATGCAGGTATGGGTGTGTGCGCGCGTGCGTGTGTGTGTGTGTGTGTGATTATTAGTTTGATATTGATGTGATTAAAAAAAAGTGAGATGAGAAATGATGAGACATGAAGCCAGGGGTTAGACTGAATAGAGGCCAGAGTCAAGAGATATCCTCAACTGCCATGCCAAGAGGCTTGAACATTACCTATAAAGAGGTGGGAGCCAAAAAGAAACATTTAAGGAGAAAAATGATAATTTTCATATTTTCCTTTTAGATGTGTAACTCAGACAACATTGTCAAAGATAGAGCAAAGCCGGAAAAGACTAGAAGAGAGACCAGGTAGGTGTCTGTTACAATCAACAAGCTGGAGACTGTAAAGCCTTAGTGAGGACAAGGCAGCAGTTATGGTGAGGAAGAGAGAGGTCCCATATGCATTTTAAACATAAAATTGGATGGTCCTGGTGAATTATTAGATGAGCGGGGTCCAAGACTGAGAGGAGTCAAGGATGACAGCCAGGTTTTAGGCCTGGAATTAGCTGAGAGAGAACTAGCAGAGGTTTTTGTTTTGTTTAGAAATTCAATTTTGTTTTTGTTTTTCTCCTTTGAATAGGGGGCATAAAAAGATGAATTAATGAGTTCAGGTTGAGACCTATTAAGTTTGAGTGAATTATTGTAGAGGTCAGAACTGAAGATATAAATTTTAGAGTAACTAACAAATAGAACCAATAGAGCAGATAAAAAGCCCTAGTAAATGTGTGAAAGGAGAGCAGAAAAAGGGTGGGGCAGGACACTGGAGAACACCAGTGCCTAGAGAGGGGCACTGGCGCTGGCCTGTGAAAGAGCCCTGGGGTTGGGGGACACCACACTGCGAGGTGCAAAGAAAGTACAGCGCCATGAAAACCAAGTGTGAGCTTTAGATGGAGTGGTCAATCATGAGCTAAACACACTTACAACAGCTACATTTTTTGAGCACTCAATACACATCAGGCACCGTGCTGTTTTATACATTGCGTCTCACTTAATCTATTATCCATATGCTATAGATGACGAATCTGAACTTCAGTACTCATATAACTTACCCCGGGTCATAAGGTGAGCTGGCAGAACTGGGATCTGAACCCAGGTCTGCGGGATTACAAAACCCATGTTCTTACCTCTGCTGGAGTAAAAGAACTTCTTCAGGATGCAACTTAATATCATCATAAGGACTGCTATCTATTGCTTTCCAAGAAGCGTGTCTTAGAAAGTCTAATAATCTCAAAGGAATATTTAATAGTTCGTGAGGTCATTATACATTTAATCCCTTTGTATAATAAAAATAGATTATTTTGGTGATATATTTCTCCATAATCTTGTTATTTCATAAACGATGCACTTGTCAAATTATGAGAAGAACACAGGGCAACATAAGGCAGCCCACTCGTTAGAGCGCTGCCCCAGGGAAGCCGAAAGGGAGGTCCCGGATGGGCCGGCTGGCGTTCTTCAGAGGAAAACCAAGTGCCCTGGACGCGGACACCTGTCCACTTAGTCTCTCACAAATATCGTCATTGGTCCCAAGGAAAACCAGAGAGGGTGTGCATAGTTCAGCACAAACCTACCACAAACATGGAAAGGTTCATTAAAATAGGTATTCTACAGTAGGTTTTAGATATCAAATTATTATCAATCTAATGGTAGAGAATACGAAAGTCATTCCTATTATGAAAGTTGTAATTTTCCCATTTCCCACTAGAGGAAGCAATAGCATTACTCTTACCATTTGGTGGATAAAAGACCGCATATTCTTCCATTCCTAGTTTTCCTGTAAGAGAAAGGCATCGAGGGTTTCAGTAGGATTAAATAAAAGAAGCAAAACTTTAAAAATGAACTGATTTGGTGCATTTACTGATACTGGAATTTTAAAAACTACAATAGTAAAATCTAATTTCATTTCACTTTAGATATGAAATTAATTTGAAAATATGTCCACCAAGCTTTTGATATTAGCAAATCCTTTCATCTATTGAAGTCAATAATATAAACTTAAGTACAAGGTAAGTGATATAAAACAATTAAAAGAACAGATGCTTTAAGCTTCTTAAGCATTTAAGAGAAGCATCTATCTATAAGCTTAGGATTGTTTTGCTAATTATAAACAATTCTAATCTAATCATTAAAGAAAGTCCTAAGCTTTGCAATGCCTCATTAGTTTACATTTTTATAGAATGTGCTGAAAAGTTAAAAATTAAATGTCTTTAACTATATAGTGGTAATATTTTTGGAATCCCAAAACTGTTTCTATTGTCCAAGAATGAGGCTAAATATTTGAAATCAGGATTGTCTCCCAACATTCAAGTATATTCACCATATTCAAATGTTTAAAGGAAGTTTTTCCTCAAAATTTTTAAGGTTCTGAGTTTATTCCCACCTTCCACTGAATATCTTTAGGTAGCTTTTCTCTTGATAGTTTTTCTAACATCTTTGAATCTTGCATGAAAAGTCACATGCAATCTTGCCCTGAGCTTTAAGGTAATATTTTTAATTAAATAAAGGAAACTTTTTTATTGTTCTTGGGGTTGGCGGCAGAGAGCAGAAGAAGAATAAGAACCATGACCAGTTTAGGTTAAGGTGGAGACAATAGGAGTAATTTTGTGTGTAAGGATGTAAGGAGAGAATGGAATAATGGAAAATAGATTATAGATACTATAGATATTGGGTTGTCAGAAAAGTCATGACGCATGTTTGCAACAGATGGCACTAGTTCATTTTTGGAAGTACTAGAGTCATTCACACCTATGTTATTGCTATGTCATTGTACAACTGACAGTTCTAGCTTCATTCTAAAAAAAATTGAGCGATTTGGTTGAGTTTTGGAGATTTTACAAATTGAAGATAGAAGACCAAACTGTGCATTTTTTACATATTTTACTATTTTACTTCCAAAAAGGGAAGAAGGTGCGTCAAGCTTGTGAAAAGTTGCATAAAGTTTATGGTGACAATGCTCTATAAGAATGTCAGAGCCAACGATGGTTCACGAAATTCTGTGCTGGTGATTTTGATCTCAACAATGCTCCTCCGTCAGGGAGGCCCACCGAGGTTGATGATGACAAAAATAAAGGCATTGATCTAGTCAAACCCACATTACACAACACGAGAGATTGCAGAAACATTGAACATCCGTCATTCAAGTGTTCATGACCACCTGAAGAAGCTGGGATACGTAAGCAAGCTTGATATTTGGGTTCCGTATAAACTCAAAGAAGTTCATTTGATGGCGTGTATAAACATCTGCAATATGCTCATTAAACATGAAGAAAACGATCATCCTTTTTTGAAGTGACTGATAACTGGTGATGAGAAGTGGATTGTTTACAACAATGTGGTAAGCAAACGGTCTTGGTCCCAACATGATGATTTGCCTCAAATAACATCAAAAGCAGACGTTCATCAGAGGAAGGTTATGCTCTCAGTGTGGTGCAATTGTAAAGGTGTCGCATTTTTCGAGCTCCTACCAAGGAACCAAACAATCAATTTGAATGTGTACTGTCAGCAATTGGACAGTTTGAACAAATCCATCATCCAGAAACGTCCAGAGCTTGTTAATTGTAAAGGTGTTGTGTTCCATCACAACAACACGAGACCACACACAAATTTGATCACCCATCAAAAATTATTGGAGATTGGATGGGATGTGTTGCCACACCCACCATACTCGGCTGACCTTGCGCCGTCAGACTTCCACTTGTTTTGCTCTCTTCAAAACTCCTTGCGTGGTATAACGTTCAATTCAGATGAGGCTATAAATCAGCACCTTGTTCAGTTTTTCGCTGATAAAGACAGGTCCTTCTATGAACGAGGAATTATGAAGCTCACTGAAAGATGGCAAAAGTTTATCTAACAAAACAGGCAATATATCATTGATTGATCTTTGTTCTTTATATAAATAAATGACCTTTGAAAAACATAGACAAAATACGTCATGACTTTTCCGACAACCCAATAGATAGATAGATGATTGATAGATAGATAGATAGATAGATAGATGATAGATAGATAGATAGATATAGGAAATGTTTGCCAGATTTTCTGGCACAGGCTTTAAGTGTTTTAGAGGTTTAGATGAGCAGGAAATTGATGACGGATTGATGGACTTGGTAAGATATAGGCTAGTTCTTCAAGGACCTATTTTTTTGGGGGGGGGGTGGGAGAAGTGGAAATCCTTCTATATGTGGGGTATATATGGAGGCTCAAATGAATATGGGATAATGTGGAATAGTCAAGAAAGCAAAGTTAGCTAGGTTAAGACAGGAGCAACTGATGGACGGCTGGCCTTGACATCTTTGCTGAGTTTAGAGATCATTCCATTAGACAGACAATTAAGTTGTATAATCAGGTTTTTAGTAGAAGATATTAAAGAAACAAATAAGCAAATAAAAGGTTTCTATAAGTTCTATTTAGAAGCAGTTGAACAGAGAGGGCCCCCTAGTTGTGGGAAGCCTGACCCAGCACCAGGTGCTGTGGGCTTGTCCTAGGGCAGGGGTTGGGGTACGCAGGCCAACAGTCAGACTTAGGAGATACAGGAGAAACCATTTCTATACGGGAACAGCAGAGCAACCATACACAATAGCTTTTAGTGCTGGGTGTTCGCCACTTAATAAAAAGGAGAAGTTGGGAAAAGGTTCCAGGTGAAATTAGTTCAGTTGTCAGGTGATGGCAGGATATTGAAATAGCAATGTCTTGTAGGCAGCATGTGATAAAGAGAAGAAAGCACTAAATAGAAATTAAGAGATCTACTAGCATATAAATTATATCAAAGTTTTAAGTGTTGTAGAATATTTTGAGAGAAGGGATATAGAAGGTTAAAAAGAGTAGAAAAAGCAAACTCATGGGATAAACGCATAGAAGGAAAAATAAAAGTCAACAGATATAAAAGACAAAACAAAAGACAAAACAGCAATAGAAAGAGCAAACAGGTAAGATTAAGAATGTAACTTTAAATGCTGCTACTAGTAACCATTTTCCTGTGATATCATTTGTGATAAGTTGGCTGGACATTGATTTAAGTGGGAGAGAGGATAGTTATAGTCGTTTGAGAGAAAACTTATTAAATAATTTACAACAAAAAATTTGACAACAACCAATGTATGCTATTAAGTAAACAGTACAATAATGTGTTAAAGAATACTTCCTTTATGTTACTAAAATTTTACCTCTTATGTATGATTTCGGTGGTGAAGCACTGTTGTACGCAAAGTGAGCCAACACAGATGTATCCCGGGAAAAACAAAGTAAAACCTGGGTACGACATTGGAAAAAACAAACAATTAAGCACTGTTTAATTCATTGCTATTTCCTACTTGGGAGGCATTCAGGTAGAATCTTTCAAGTTCAGTGCTGTGCCTGGAAATGGGACGAGCGCCCTCTCTTGATGAACCTGCGGTGTTACAGAGGACGTCAAGTGTGATGGCCAAGGTTCATCCAAAGATTTCTTAACTGTTAGCCACTTAAACCTTGAACAACAGCAGAAAATGTAAATTGTGCTATCAGTTGATTCTTTCACTGTGTTTTGTAGCTGAAAAAGAGAAGTACTCATACTTTGTTAAAATTTAACAGACGAGAAGTGTATGGGGGGACCCTAGGGAACTACAATGGCACAGAGCTATTTGGGCAGTGCAGGAAAAAGGAACTAGATTCATTGCTGGGATGCAGCAGCAGGCAGTCGGGCATGTCGGGGTGGGAGGGGAGGCAGCTCATGACATTTAGAAGGGATGGGGCGGCAGCAGACAAGCCGCAGCCCAATACAGGTTAAGAGCTGTTCGTCCTGACCAGCAGGTAGAGTGGCAACTCAACCCGAAGATGAAAACAGGTGGGACAGAAAAATCAGGATTAAGGATGTCCGTTAGGAGGAACTGGGTTGCTGACATCCATCTGGAATTTTAGGGCAGGGGGCCGATCCCTGGGAAGGCAATTGGTTACAAGAAATCTGGGTCCTGGTATTAGAAGACCTGGAATTCCAAAGCTGTTACTAAGAAAAGAATTTGGGAATGACTGGAAAAGGCAGGAGCCCAGTTAACAGAACAGGAACACAAAGCCAGAGCTGGAGTAGCACCAAGAGTGAGTGAAGAGGGAAACTGGGGGCCAGATTTAGAAAAAGGACCCGTATGGAGGCTGGGCATCAGTCAGGCCCAATGGAGAAATGTGTGCCAACCATTGCTACTGATTTATTTTTATTGTATTTTAAAATACTACACATGCAATATGTTCATGATAAAAATTAGAAACACGATCATCAAAATAGGAGGAAAAACACCCATAATCCCACCAGTGTTAATATTTTTATGTATATCCTTTCAGACTAGTCTTATACACACATATATACATTTTTCAAACAAAATAGGATTATGCATACCGTTCTATAACCTATTATATTTCTCTCAATATTATAAATATTTCCTACCCACATTTTTTTTAACATTGAAGAATATTCCACTACTATATGGATGAACAATACTTTATTTAACCTTTTTTTGTTGTTGCTTACCTAATTGTTTCCACTTTTCCTGAACTATAAACAATATTTATGTACACCTTTATTTAAATTTCTAGATGTCAAACTAGGGGCATTTTAAAAGTAAAACTTTTGATATCCATTGCCAAATTTGCCCTCCAGAAAGGGTTTCTTTTTATTTAAACATATCCAGCAGTAAAATAATATATTTTCTCTTATTCTCATCCAGACAGATTATCATCATCTTATATGTAAAAAATGGTATCTTTAATTACTAATGAGGTTGAACATGCTTCTCTTTGCATTTCCTTTACTTTCCAGTTCATTACCTTAGTCCATTTTATAATTGATGTTTTTTAAATGATTTAAATTATTTGTAGATTAAGAATTCTAATCTTTGGTCTAATTATATGTTACAAATGGCTTTGCTCAAATAATTTGTTATCCCTCCTCACATTTATAATATTCTCTATACATTCACCTAAATTATTAAAGTCATTGGTGTTGTTTATGAAATAGTCTGGTTCATCCCTTTTGGGAACATATCTCAGCTCATCTTTTCTGACATGCCAATCTCCATCTGAGTCTGCTTCCCTGGGATCCCATCCTGGAACATATTAAAAGTGGGGGAAATGGTAAAATTCTAAATACAATGTAAAGGAAGGGCCAGCAGAATTTACTAACAGATTGGATAGTGTGTGTGTATGTGTGTGTGTGTGTGTGTGTGTGTGTGT